TTTGAAATCGAATTTGACATATGACAAGATACGTAAATCAAACATGGCGTCCATTGTAATAAATTTTCATGAAGAGATAACCTAGACAATATAATAAATGCTTGTTAAAGTAAAAAACAAATAAGCTGTCGAAGTGCATTGTTTAACGATGAAGAAATACCAAGAAAAATGCATGTATTATGTAGTTCCAGCGAGAAACGACGAAGTAAAAGTAAATAGTTAATAATATTTGCCGGCTTTCAATCTAAGTGAGTACTTTTATTAATATGCATACTTCGAATTACTTTCATTTGATTGTACTATTCTGATATGATTTTTCATTACAGTTTAATAATTCAGAAATAATTGAGACATTTAACTATATCAATACTAGAAATTTTAAGGTTATAATAGATAGAGAGAATTCTGTCAGCTTTCTGAAAGGTATGTTATTAAATAACTAAATATAAATTATTCTTGTTCTAATAATGTAGGATCATAACTAATAATTCTACATCAATTTTTCAGCAGTATAAAAGGAAAATACGTTTAATGTAAAATGTTTAGACGGTTTACTAAACACATTCACAAGTATACAAGTATTGATACGAGATGAATGAATACACAGGAAAAAACAATAAGAATGAAGTCTGAAATGTGCTGAAATCTTTGCTGATCTCCCACTAATATTGAACAGTAGGACTCGTAATTATATATTAAGTCAGTTTGGAGAACATACTAAAAACACTAATGATATATCGTAAGGGAGGAAATTCTCAATTAATGGTGAAATTCTAGCTAGTGCAAAGGTTAATTTAGGTTTGGCTATGTCACAGGAAAAGTTTTTAAGTATTAATAATTTATTGATTCATTGATATTACAAGAAATATTATTATCTGTGTTGTTTAATGATGATAAAGGGAATCACATTGTATAGATTTTCAGGAACTGTCAAATGACAGGCAAAGTATAATCATGATTAATGATAAAATTCTACCTAGTGCAAAGGGATAAAACACCCTTAATGTGCACTGCTTATTGCATTTGACTATTCTGAAAGAGTTGTCAATAGCTTTACTCTAAAATGTCTTATTGTAGATGCTATAAGAAAACTATTAAGTACTGTTATGATAATATCAATGATTGTTGTTTTTCTTTAAGACAATGATAATAATGACATTTTGAACAAACATTTGAATGCACATTAACAATAGCGCAGAAAAGATTCCCAAATAGAGACTGTACATCATAGATATTATGTAACTTAATGTAAATCAAAATAAAATATATATGTAAATATATATATATATATATTATATATATATACACATGCAGGCCTTATCTATGCATGCAGGTATGAATTGTGGTTATATATGTATATGTAATATTAAATAATATCTACTTTCATGTACATTTCTATTCTTTTTGTGCTCAGCTTGAAAGGCTGATATGCTAAAATGATATTACACACACATATATATATGTATATATATATATATATATGTTAAAGTAGTTAATTTTGATGTTGAGAAATATGAGTAAGTTCTTCAAGGGCATACATCAAATAAAAGGCAAAGATTTAGAAGTTAATCTTTAATTTTTCCAAATGTTTCGACATAGTATTTTATGTCATCATCAGTGGATCTACAGAATGAATATTGAAAAATTAATATAAACTAGGAAAAAATGACAGAAATTGGAAAAAGAACTATAGATATAAGTAATATAATTATAACAATAACAATTATACTTAACAGATAGATAAACAAGAGAAATGAAAAGTAAAAAGAAATATATACAAACATACAAAGCGTAATATATATATACATAAATATACACAAACAAACGTGTATATATGATATACATGTAAAAACACGTACACATATGCATATATAATACGAACAAACGTATATATAAACATATACATACGGACATGTACATATTATATATACACATATATACATACATACACATACACGTATACACATATACATACATACATATATATACACATATATATATATATATAAATATATAGTATATATATAATTACATATGCAATATGTATGTATTGCATATGTATGTATATATATATATGTATATATATATATATATATATAATATATATATGGTATATATATGTATGTATGTATATGTGTATACGTGTATGTGTATGTATGTATATATGTGTATATATACATATGTACATGTCCGTATGTAATGTTTATATATACGTATTGTTCGTATGTTATATATGCATATGTGTACGGTTTTTTACATGTATATCATATATACACGTTTGTTTGTGTGTATATTTATGTATATATATACGCTTTTGTATGTTTGTATATATTTCTTTTTACTTTTCATTTCTCTTGTTTATCTATCTGTAAGTATAATTGTTATTGTTATAATTATATTACTTATATCTATAGTTCTTTTTCCAATTTCTGTCATTTTTCCTAGTTTATATTAATTTTCAATATTCATTCTGTAGATCCACTGATGATGACATAAAATACTATGTCGAAACGTTTGGAAAAATTAAGATTAACTTCTAAATCTTGCCTTTTATTTGATGTATGCCCTTGAAGAACTTACTAATATATATATAATATATATATATATAATATATATATATATATATATATAGATATATATATATAATTGTGGATAGCGTGTACATTTATGTACATTTTTATGCTTTCGCACATAGTTTATACAGCTTACTACCATCTATTATAATCATATATAATGTTATATATATAATATTATATATATATATAATATACACATTGTGGATAATGTGTATATTTATGTACATTTCTATGCTATGTGTGCATTGTTTATAAAGAGAACTATGTAGATATAATGTAGAATGTTTTTGTGAAAAATAAATGCTTTAAAATTTTTTTTTTTTCAATTTTTCTTTTTT